ATCAGTCAAAAGGAAATTTCAGATATTGTTATTTTAAGCCATGCGCTTGAAATAGTGATAATTTAAAATAATAGAGCTCTCACAGTTATGGTTATTTAATGATGCATATTTTCAACGTAATACATTTTCAGAGGAAAGCATTGTAAAGAACTTATGGCAACATAAGAGTGAAAAAGAGAAAACATTTTATTGGAATTAAAAGTTTTCAACTCGCTCACTTTCTCAGACGATAGTACATTTAAAAGATTGTTGACACAAGGGACGAATGTAGGACAAGAGGAATCTGCATAAATTTTCATTTTATGGCATTTTTCAATTCTGGCAAATCTCCTGGATTTGAATAGTACATCTTAAATTTCAGATAACCCCAGTTCAGAACCAGAAATTCATCAGATTGAGGTTGGGAGATCGCAGTGGCCACGAAACTGCAACGCTATGAGAGATGACTCCGGAGTGCTGTTGCAGCACTTGCCGAACGCATGTGGCGACATATGGAGGAACACCATGTTGCATCCATACGATGCCATTAACGACATTTTGCTACTGCAATTCTGGAATTACATGATTCTGCAACTTTCTTGTATACTGAGTACTTATGGCATATGTTTCCATGCTTGTGGAAATAACTTGTTCGGTTAAGTACCGAACAAGTTCAAGTTCGTTTAAGTACGAAGAACGAATGTGCTTGCTATGCCGTACCACACAAACTCTTTAGTTTGGTACAAAAGCTCTGGTGCCACATCTTGAGTATTTTCGTCTGCCAGGTGAATGCAATTCTTGGAGTTTACGTCCCCAGTTAAGGAGAAATGCACCTCAGCCTTCCATAATACCCCGCTGCGCCCACCTGCCACCTTCATCATATCTTTTTGAGGTTGCATCTGCAAGCGCTGGATTCGATAAGGAAACATCCGGGAACAAAGGGCAGAAACTTGAAGACTTTGTTTTTTGGTACATCTAAACTGAGGGTAACCCTTCTTGCAGTATATAATGGACCTGCGGTAATCGTGTTATGCTCTTCAACAGGAACATAGGTCCTCCAGATCGCGGTCCATAACATATGATGTCCAGTTTCATCAAATTATAACCATATCACGTACAGTTTCTACAGAACATGGACCTCGTTTTGGCTCAGTTATCGCTAAACCATCGATCACGAGCTACTAGTAGCTCGCGGGGACATTTTCGGTAGATCTCGTTAAGGCTCTGTTTGGCTAGTGTTGATTCCTCTACTGAGGCCGCACAGACGGTATAGTTGTTAGGGGAGCCTGACTGCGATACCAAAGGGCCTGGGTTCGAATCCCAGAGAAGGCATGGATGTAAATTGTCTGTCCCTTCATAGAAGGCAAAGGTGTTCCACCTGTTGGCTGCCTCCATAATAAAGAGACCACCACATCTGGCCTTAGGAGTGGCCAATGCCGGCATAGGCAAGTGCCCGCCATTAGAAAAAAACAATTCCTTCACTGAGCTGACGCTGACGACTGCTTATTTCTCCCGCGCAACTCCCATTGTCAGTCTCATCTCGCTGTAGTTCGCTGTATACACGGGAGGTTGTGCACATTATGTTTTTCGTGTGCATATTAGACATCTGCTAACTTGGATAGTTTGATTTAAGCATAGGTACTAAAAGATGGCGTATTCAAACAAAAAGCAAAAAATGTATGACTTTCATTCGGAATGAGCAATCGATTATTGCTTTACCTAGGTAAAGGACAAATGTGCATGTTTACGTACATCGTTCCAGTGCCGTTTACTAATGCGCGGATCAATTTGCGCAGGGAAAAGGTAGGCGTTTGCTTAGAAAATTTCGAAATGTTTTCACTGCTACCGTAACCGTGTGAGCTCTTTCGTTTTAAATCATCACAATCTCGAGCGTATGTCTTCAAATAATAATATCTGAAGTTTCATTTTGATTGGTTGAGCGGATAGGTCGCTAGAGGTTCATATATCAGGGATGTTTTTTATGACCACATTGTGTACTTGTGTTTATGACCACCCTGGGATGCGCTTTACATTCTTAGTTAAAGGATACGTTAGTTAAGTAAAATTCACTAAAGTTGCATAATGACTTAATTCACTATTTTACCTAAGCTTGATTTTCTTTACTATCTTAAATTTCTCTAAAAAACTTCAGACGCTCAGCTATCTGGAGCCCGACCTTTTAGTTTCTACATTATCACACACTGTTATCATTTTCAAAATGAAGAACAATTACGAATTCCTTTTTCGTTTTAAGAAAATTTGGACAAATTTTATTTTACATTATGAATTGTAAAAACAAAACCACATACCACTTATAAATGACTTCAGTGTATTGTTAAAACGTTTAAACAGAAATTATCAGTGAAATACCTAAATATAGAAAGCTACCACATATTCAAATGTAGTCACTCTATCTAATGTACTATTACAACATCCCTCTTAATAACAGATAAATTTCTTGGGAAATTTAAGACAAACGTATCCTTAATCTTTAAAGCTTCAAATTATTTTAATCTTTAAATCTTCAAAGATTAAAGACACGTATTATTTAATCTTTAAATCACACTCTTGAATTAAATTCAGACAAATGTTAATAGTTTTTAAACACAGTTTGCGTCCATGACTTATTTATCTTAACTCATATTTTAATATATGCAAGGAATGATTAAGGAATATTGATTAAAGTGGATAATGAACTAAGAATTTGTGAAAAAGAAGATCAAAATTTTGATTTCGAACTTCTGAGCAAAGGTAAACTATATCTTCTCTTTATTACAAAAAAATGCAAAATTTAATATTTTTTTATTATTTTAAATTTTTAAACGTGTAAACATTTTAAATTTTATATTAAGATTTTTGGAGCAAATTAATCTATCTAAGTATATTTAAAACTAGGAAAGTAGAAGATAGTTCACATAATTGCATAAATACTATCAAATAAAGTTTATTTTAGCATTCCAGAAGCATGAGCAAATAAACGACAAAAAGAATGTAGAAAACTAATAGCTTCTTTTCAAAATTAAAATTTTCTTAAACTTTTAATAAAATATGACATTAGGAATGAATGTAATTTGAAAAGTTGAAGATGTTTACTCGGGATTTTTATAAGCAGTTGTTGGCAAAATGTAGGGTGGCACTTATCTCCTAGCACTTTGTTTATTTAATAATTTATATCTCTAATTTTGCTTTCCAAAAGTTTTATTTTAATGTAGGTTAGAGTTTAAGAATAAGAAGTTTTCTTTTTGTTACTATTTTAAATAAATGAACGAATGATATTTATTTAAAATTACTAATACGAATTAGTAAATAAGCATTTTAATGATAAATAAAAGCCATTAAAGGCTAAGAAATGAATTTCGATAAAGGTATTGATAATGTACAGGAATTCTTTAAAAAATTAAGTATGAGAAAGATATATATCATAATTTTGTAAATATTCTGAATGTCATTATTCAAAACAATTGTAAATGGAAAGTTTGACTGTCAATAAAAGGCATTCAGTAGCACTTTTATCTATTGTGTGATGATGATTATATATTGCATGAATTGATTTATGCATAAGAATGACAAAACGCATTGCAATTTGCTTAATCGGAAGATTTTGAAACTGAAGCCATAAGCTCATTTGCCTTCCTTAAATGAAAATAATTCATGTTCATCTTTGAACAGAAATTTTAGCTACAATTAAAATTAAACTTTTCTGCACATTAGAGTATAATGCTAGAAATTTCGTTTCGAAAAATTATATTTTTTTTTTTTAATTAACGATCGCTAGATAAGGACGTAAAGAAAATAATGAGCGTTTTTAAAACAAAAGAGGCTATTAATCTCGAAATGGGATTTTACATTGGTTCACTATAAACGGCATATGATTTTTCAAATTGTGCCACCAAATTTTCTTCCTGCTTTATTTTCAAAGAAATTAAATAACGAAGACTCTGGATGCATGTATGTACATTCCTCGCATTGTGGGGGAAAAAAAGGACAGCAACTAAAGCCACCAAATTTTCAATAACGTAGTCCTTCATCCAATCACGTGAGCCTGGAAGACCGAATTTCAAATTTTATATTTTATTTGTTTTAAAACCTTAATGAATTTTTTAGACTGTTCCCCTTTGGAAAAATTTAAGATGTTTTTCTTACAATTTTAATTAACAAACTCGGCGTTATGAAAGCAATGTGTTGCCGTGGCAGGAAATAAAGTACTTTTATCTTTCACGCGCTAGCGTTTAGCCATTTAGTAAAGCCTAAGATACTTTCAGATTTAATTTGGAATGTCCCTATGTAATAAACTAAGCGATTTAAAAGCAATAAGTACAGCTTTTAAGAAAAAAAATTTACTTTTTAATATGATTGATTTAAATAAACATATATTAAAATCATAAGATATCTAATTAAAAGTATTCAATATTTTTTATGGAATTACACTCATTAAAATCATTATATACTTTTCCTTCTTTATGATAACTATTTGAATAGTTTATAAAGAAATAATATAAACTAAACTCAGTGGCATAACAACTCTAATAGGCCAAGGCCTGCAGTGCCCGAAATCTGCTTTCTTGACCGTGGACTCCGGGGTGCGTAAGCATATGCCCTGAACAAGTGGTCAGCTTGGTTTCAGGACCCCCAGTGTTTAGTCCCCAAACGAACTTGGTACTAATTTTATCGACCCAAGTGATGGAAATCAAGGGATGAAAGGCTGAGTGGACCTTCCCCAGCCCGGAAATCCAACCTCGGAACTGTGGTGCTGCTCAGCGATGAACTGTGGTGCGATGAGCCACTGCGCCACCGGGGCTCAAAGAAATAATACAGTGAATATAAAAATATGTATGGCAACCTCTAATACTCTGCCTGGAATTCTAAAGATATGCTGTTTATAAATATTTTATAACTTTGCTGTTGAACTGAATTTTATGTAGCGTGTGTGCGAAGAACATGATATTTAATAAAGTTAACACATAAAAAGTTAAGAACTAGATTTAAGGCAGTAACTATTTTTAATAAATTACGTAATATAACATACGTACGTTTCGTAAAATAATAATCACACATAAATTTTGAACTGTTTGTATAAATAAACATAAGTAGCGACGAAAAATTCAAAATATAGTATGAGAGGAATTTAAAGCAAACCTAACCAATAACAATCAGAAATGTGAACTTTTCGAAAGATCATAAACGCTGAAAACTTTAATGCAAAGTTTCAAGTAAGTTAAGCTGTTAATTTTAATTATATCTCTAGACGCAAGTATGATTTGAGATGAAAAGGAATATCTAACTTATTGATTCCTGAATGCCAGGCGTAGGACTTTGCAAGCGCTACCCTAACAGCACATCTGCTCAAGTGTTTCAGTGTTCTGGGCATCACAGGACCCTCCGATATATTTTTAAATATACAACTATACTGCTGGCAATGCTTAAGCACCTTCTTCCAGCACTTTTTGCGACAAAAGGAACTTTTTACTTCTTCAGAGATAGTATGGGTTATTTCATGCAGTCGCACATATGGTGTTGGCCGAGCTCTCCAACATAGAAAGAAACAATCAACCATGTCTGATCTCTGTTGTGGCGAGTTCCGTGTAGCAAACATCAAAAGAAATATAATAACTTCGTTAATAATGTACTTTCTGGATGACTGCGTTTCAAAGTTCTCATCATCTGACGAATTTTCATTACATTTATTTGCAGTGAAATGATGAGCAGGAACGTCATCGTACGTATAACGTAGAAAATTGCAACATAATGTCTCGTCTTTTCTTGGCATCTCGTTGTAACCCAGATTGCAGTCAAAAATGAATCTGAAATAGAAATGTAACTATTATGCAAATAGTTGGTATTATGCAAATAGCTAAGATTTCTCAGTTGGAAGTTGTCCCACAACTTAAATCAAATAATTTATATACTACAGAAATAAAATGAAAAAAATTTGTTGCTAATTTTTGTATATTTAAAAACGTCTGCGCTATAGGAGATGAAGATAAAAATTTTATGGAGGTTGAAAATTTAACAGAATATGCAATAAACTTATTAATTTTTCTTGTAAATTTAAAAATATGATTTAATTCCCCCCCCCAAAAAAAACATGTTATATGCATGAAGGCTTCAGCAGAGAAACGTTTCGCTTATTCCAAAGCCAAAAATACAGTTTAATCACATGAAATTATATTAGAAAATTAGTCTATGGTAATACGAAAAGACACATAATTTATTGTTATTTGTGTAAAATTTTATCTTATTAAATTGTATCTTTTTATTCAAATGGCAACTGCTTGATAATTTTTATCATCAACTACTCATTTTGTTATTGAATGCAATACCTTGATTCTTATTTTTTTTTTTTTTTTTTTTTTTTTTTTTTTCATTTGACACATTTTTTTTTTAAATTAGTCGTAGTCGTTGTAAGTGGGTGCTAAATTATTTTTTTCACTCCCCGCGTTTTAAATGTCTTTAGGCCAAAAGGCCGATTTGCAAAGAAGGGCTATTAATTTCATTTTTGACATTTTGCGTCGTTCACTATAAAACGGCGTTTCACTTTAAAATCGTTGCTATCAAATGTTAGAGCCCTGCATTGCCTTTAAAGAAATTAAATAATGAACAATCTGCATAAATATATGTATGTTTCTCGCATTGTGAAAAAATATTTTGTGATATTGCTGCTGAATTGAATTTTAAATGCGAAGAACGTGATATTTAATAAATAAAGGTAGCACACAAAACTTTAAACACACCCCTTTGGGCGTAATATAAAATCTGAAAGCTTTAAAGCTATTTTATTTTTAAATTATAAAGATAAATTTTGGTGCAATGAAAATATTATTATTTAAGTAACAAAGTATCTTTCACTGCTCTTATTAGGTTTGCAAACATTAAATTTACATAAAACATCATTTTTTATTTACCCAAATTAAAACCAGAAATTTTTTTAATTCAAATTTCATTGCAAAGATTTATTTAATAAAAAATAAGATAGGAATCATGCGCATATGAATATTTAACTATATTTAATATACGGCTAATTCTTCACTTTTCCTTAACTTTCAAAAATTGAGAAAAATTTGAAAATCGTTCTTAACTTTTATTATGCCAAATATTATATGAAAAATATATTTTAATTTTTCGAGTATTATTTAGCACTTGTTCATCTGTCACTACTGTTCTTGGTAGAGTGCTGCAGTCACCAGAGTGCCTTGGTTCGTAGATCTACCTCCATTGAAAAACTCTTACTTTCCGATATATCACTTCGAAACTGTACTGTAAGGTATTTATTACACAAAACTCAAATATTATAGAAATAATTAATAATGTCCATACTTGGGGCTATTAATTCCGGCCGTCGAACTGATGAAACAAGAACAAGTAACGCCATATTCAAAGGTAATTACTAAAATACATGGCAAAGTAATTTATATACAAATATAGAATATTACGAGAAACAGGTTAAACAAAAAGTTACCACAAATATTAGATATTAAGTGCAGATCGAAAGTACAAAACATGAAAATAAATTTAGGTAAGCTTAATTTCTATTTACTCGTGATAAATTTCCACTAAAAATATCCTCCAGAATATTAAATAAAACGAAGATATTGTCAAGGGTGTTGTGGCCGCATGAACCTCATCCATGTTTTCCGAGATCGTTTTAATTATGCCGAATGTAGAATAATAACTAAAAATCTCCTTTACTTCACGAATAATGTTCATGACTATACAAAAGTTTCAGAGATGCTGTTCGAGAGCTCTGTCGAGCAGCGTAGAGGAAATTAGTATCAGTGGTTTTGGATGATTTTTCTTCACCGCTTGTGCAAGCTGTTAGTCAGGGCGACATACGTTTACTTGACTAATGTAGGATATAACACTGCCATGTAGATCAACTTGTATTTCATTAACAGCCTGGGTTTTTTCAGTAGGTTTTTCGTTTTAGGTTATTTGGATTTTTAGGATGTAATCGATAAATGGCTGCGCGATCGGGTGTCCGCTGATAACATCGCGGCAAAAACATCGCGGACGAAAACGTCGCGGAGAAAACAACGCAAGGCGAAAACGTCGTGCTACAAAACATCGTGGGAGAAAACATCGCAGTCCTAAAACATCGTGGTACAAAACATCGTCGTCGAAAATAAAGCGGTTCAAAAACTTCGCAATTTAAAAACATCGTCGTCAAAAATATCGTGGTAAAAAATAAAGTATCTACAAATCATCGCATGACGATAACATCGCAGACATGCTTTTTCCATACATGCTTTAATAACTGTAAATGAATATTCCCATAAAGATTTGTGAGCGCAAAATGTAAAGAAGGATAATTTTTACTTTCACATTTTTTATTAACTAATAAATTTTTGCTGAAAAAGTAAGAAGGAAACTTAAGCATAGAATATTAAATGCAACTTATAGATTATACTTTTCATGAAAAATTACCAGTAAAAACTTTATAAAAATGATTTATTAATGGCCTTTGTTAGTTAACTATGTCGGTTTAAAATTCTATTAATTGCTATAAGTTGCATTAATTTGCTATGCTTAAGTTTCCTTCTTACTTTTTCAGAAAAAAATTATTAGTTAATAACAAATGTGAAAGTAAAAATTATCCTTCTTTCCATTTTGCGCTCACAAATCATTATGGGAATATCCATTTACAGTTATTAACGCATGTTTGCGAAAAGCATGTATGAAAAAAGCATGTCTGCGATGTTATCGTCATGCGATGATTTGTAGATACTTTATTTTTTACCACAATATTTCGACGATGATGTTTTTAAATTGCGAAGTTTTTGAACCGCTTTATTTTCGACGACGATGTTTTGTACCCCGATGTTTTAGGACTGTGATGTTTTCTCTTTGCGATGTTTTCTCCCACGATGTTTTGTAGCACGACGTTTTCGCCTTGCGTTGTTTTCTCCGCGAAATTTTCGTCCACGATGTTTTTCCCGCGATGTTTTCGGCTGTAACTGCGCGATCGGCACCACAATTGTAACAGATTAGTTTCTTTATGAATTTGGCTCAGGATCAGAACTTTTACGAGGTTATAAGGTATTTCTCCCGCCTTCTCAGCATGCCTTCGTAGTGTAGTGGTCAGCACGCTCGGCGCGTATTCGAGAGGTCCGGGGTTCGAGTCCCCGCGACGACATTGCTCATTTTTCGTCTCTCTTGCTTCGAAATAACCTAATGTCTCTACAAGGTAAGGAGCATTAAACACACCTTGGAGCAACATTACACTTTTCTGAGGAGTGGAGGAAATACTGGCAGTTGTGGCATTGTGCAACACTGCCATACTTTCTTCGTACTTATACGTTTCGGTAGGAATATTAAGACTCAGTAATTTGTAGATATCATAAATGTGCTCTGTTCCAAGCACATTAACTAAATGTACCTTAAGAAAAGGCACTGGCGTTCTAATCTTAAATTTGTACATATCCGTCACTACGTAAGTTAATAAGACAGTTCTGTGAAGGTTTATTTTTAAAATGTGTAGGGTTGCTATTTCATCAGGGAACTAAAGTTAAGTCCTGCAGACCTTACTAAAAAATATAGCTAGTAAAAAAATAATAAAACAAATAATAAAACAAATAAATTCAAAATTCGGGCTTCCAGGTGGCCATGTTCAGGTGGAGGACTATGTTATTGAAAATTGATGACTTTAGCTACCGTTGGTTTTCAAAATGCGAGAAATATGTATGCATTTATGCAGATTCTTGATTATTTAATTTCTTTAAATGTAATACAAGGCGATAGTATATGGTGGCAACAATCTGAAAGGTGCTACTCCGTTTATAGTGATTCAACGCAAAATGCCGTTTCGAGACTCATATCCCATTCGGGACTAACGTCCCTCTTGGGCTAACAGTACTCCAAAGCATAAATATATTAAACGTTTTCTTCCAACTTTTTGTCTCAATAAATAATTGATGTCATAATAATTTACGGAAAATGTATTTGCCGGTAGTGTAAGATTCTTTTGGGTGATGCATGCGGCCAACAAGCTGCCAGTTTGAGACCACTTCATTCAGTGATTTTGCTAAGACCTATAAACTATTTTATTAAAAGTTTACTTCATTCTTTCCTTTTATATTAGAAGAAGGCTTTAGCAATTTTTGTCTCTCTTCTCCTTTGACAATATTGCGATTTCTACAAAAGGAGTTCATCTAAAATATAATTTAGAAATTAAGGTATGAAAATGTACACTCTTCTTTAAAATATAAACAAAGCATCATGAGAAAAGTATTTCTTTTTAATCAAATTAAACATTTCTAAACTATTTCAAGGTTCTAAGATAATTTAGCAGCTAGTAGTTCTTCTTAAATATCACAGTTAGTAATATTGGAAATTTCCCTAGCGGTTACAGCCGAAAATATCCCTGCAAAAACATCGCGGACGAAAACGTCGCGGAGAAAACCTCATGCTACAAAACATCGTGGGAGAAAATATCGCAAAGAAAACATCGCAGTTCTAAAATACCGCGGTACAAAATATCGTGGTCGAAAATAAAGCGGTTCAAAAAGTTTGCAGTTTAAAAACATCGTCGTCGAAAATATCGTGGTAAAGAATAAAGTACCTATAAATCATCGCATGACGATAACATCGCACACATGTGTCTTTCAGATCGCATAGTGACATATTATGTAACTGACTTTCATCATAACTAACAAATCGACATCTAAAAAATTGATTGCACGCTATACATGAAAATGTTAACAACATTTTAACAATAAACGGAAACAAAACAACATGTAATTTTCATTAAAACAATATCAGATTAATGAATGTAAAAGAAAATAATCTGATCATTAACTAAGCAATT